GAGTTAGTTTAAAAATACCTGAGAAACAAAATTTTTTTATTAAAAAACTTTAAATTTCAAAAATTTTAAACTTCTATTTCAGGAATTTCGAAGATTGATGGGTTTTAACATATGTGTCCCCGACACCTTACTAACAAAAAGTGATGTGATAACGTTTATAGTTACTGTGTATATGGTATTACTTTTTACTGTTTTCGATACAAATTTCCCTCTAATATTTTCTTCCACCAAATAAATATCCTTGATCGTTTATATAATTTTGAATTCCTATAAGTATTGTATATTAGTATTGATAGCGAATCGTTTTTTAAAATATGCATACCAGCCGTTAAATATACCATGTTTCCACTTGTCTCATTTAGGCAGTTTTGCTCATTGAGAGCGTTAATGATGATAATTTGCCGTACAAGGAGGTTTTATATAAATGAACTCGTTATAAATAAATCAACTGATTTAAGGTAAAAAAAAGTCGAAAGCAACGCTAAAAAAACTTCCACAAGGGAAATGATCAAAATTTGAAACATTTATTATATATTTTATATGTGAAATATAAACAAACAAGCTATTTCACATGCATAAATCAGGTTACGGTAATGAAAACGATCATACCTTAATTTCATTAACATAAGTAGTCTTACACTGAAACAATAGTAATTGACAATTAAAATTACAAACACGTCTCTGGTGTGAATTTAGTATTAGCTGCAGTGGAAACACGATATTACTGTAAAATCTGGATATCTAGAATAGAGTATATAACATTGTTGTAAAAAATCCTCCTCTTAGTTTTTAATCAACAGACACAAAACGTATGACTTGTATAGTAGAGAGTAGTAGCGAAATGAGTCAAAAGTTCTTCGAATAAAAACAAATACCCTTTGGTATGTTTCTAATACGACACATTAACGTAATCTTCACATAGTCACATTAGTAAAAGAACTTGAGAGATAAGAGACACATCACACATATTTCGCTTTCAGTTCACCTAGACTTCCTTGACACTGATTTGTTTCGGCTAAACAGATTTAGATACAATAATATAATCATTTTAAAATAAAAAGAAAAAGAAAATTGAAGTAAGTACTAAATGACAATATATTTGTTAATTTGAAGAAACAATTTTATAACTTGCTCTTTATAACAGCACAAAATTAAACAAGATACGATTACGTTCCATCAGGCATGGACATGAACTGATAGATGGCAATGCATAATTTACAGTAAGTGGAGATGGGTTAATACAAATTATTGTCCAGGTTGGGGGATTTTATTTTATGCCATAATCAACAGTAGTAGCGTGACTAATAAATTATTCATATGGTGTTTAATTTATTAATCAGTTATGTTAAGCAGATATAATTACATTAATAAAATATTAACTATATCAAAGTTGATAATGTTTATCAAACAATTTGATTATTATTATTCAAAATTTCCATTCCCTAACTTATCAAATGTCATGAAATGGTTTTGAAAAAATTTGCATATCATTTAATAAATAAAATTTAAAGGATTTTATTTCTTATAGATTATGAACACACATTTAAAGAAAAGTAGGATATAAGTAAAGAAAATATCATAAAATTTTCTGTAAATTGTATTTAATTTATAAAAATGTTAAATATGTAATATTTATTTAAAATTATAAATAAATTTTTCAATAAATAATAATAATATTTTATCCAACTGAATATAACGAAATAACAGGTTTAAATAAATAATAATATATTATAATAAATTAATAACTGATTAAACTGAATTGATTAATATATTTTACAAAGTTATAAATATAAATTATTAAAACATTTAACGATAAATTTAACTATCTGGTTTCTTTTTATTTAATGGATGAAAAACTTATCAATTTGCATGAAATGATTTATGTTCTCACACTTAATGTCTTGATTTATACGCTACGATAAAATTTACGATATATATAAGTTCATATCATTTAAAGCAATAAAGATTATAATAGAAAAAAAAAGAAATTGTACTTTTATATATACGATTATTGTGGTTCATTACCATTATATATAGCATAATAACTACTTTTATGAATGAATATAATTGTATCGTATTTTATGTTTATGGTAATAATAAGAATTTACAATATTTTGTCTGTGATTTTATATCGTAAAAAATTATATTGCATAGATAAGAACTATTAGTATTTTTTTTTCTAATATAAGAAATTACCATAAATAACAACTTTTGTTATATTATTCATATTATAAATTTAGTATTAATTTTAATATTATACTTTAATATTATACATTATATACATAAGATAATTAATTAAAATAATCTAATCTTAAGTCTTATTATACTTAAATTAAATCAAAAACATTGCCAGACATCTATCAAGAATTTTAGATATTTACTGTCGATTACTTTTAGACTTTTAAAAGAAACGTGTTAAGCTGATTCATTGTGAAAATATAATTTAGTAAAAATCATAGAAAATAGATTAGGACAAGTACATATGATACTCATTGATATTACTTAATTCATTGTAAAATTGAAGTACTTTGAAAAACATTATTAATTGGCTACACGCTTGTGACTCAGCCTTTATTATTAAATTAATTAGTACAAGTTTTATGAAATCCATTCAGAACTATAAAGTATGTATTAATATATATGGTATATCTGATTGGAAGAGTGTTGTCAATTAGCGAAGAAAACAATAACAATTTTATCGCAAAACTGTGTTGTATATCGGTAAACTATATCGGTTGGCATATCAGTCATTTTATCGGTAGCTGTAATTACTGGGAAATATATAACGCATTTCTTTTTGAGTTAAACTTTCTCTGAAGGCTACCGACATTTTATAATGGATATAAAGTGTAATATCGGACTAATTGCTTTATAACGATAATTTCGTCATTTAATTAGACGTAAATTTATGTTTTCGAGTTTATTATATTTTTTAGATTTCTACTAGATTTTGGTGTTAACATTTAAAATAAAAGGTTTTAAGATATTTTAATTAAGGCAAAAAGATTGGTTTTTATTAGAATTCCCTAGAAGGCTGCAAAATATTAAAAATCAAATTGCTTTTCATTTTCTGAAAGGGAAAGTGTCAATGAGACGGTTGCCTATATACATTTTTTAATATTATTTTTATTACCATTTTATTATAGTCAATAATTATATTATAACTTAATTATAATATACACTATAATTTTTTTTTTTTATTATAAAAGAATTTTTATTAATAATATAATGTAAACATTAAAATTTTTTGCTTCGATTAAAACAAGATAAAGATTTCGAGACAATCACAGAGCTAAAAAATGAGTGGCTGTTTATTGAAGAATATATGTATATTATTGTCTAATATATATGTATATTATGATAAAATTTCCTTAGTACAACATATTAAAGTTATCTTCAATCCGATAAGGACAGTAATGGCATTATGTTACCTATACCATAGATTAAGATATTGATCTTGAACACTGATCCTAAGGATTTTTTGTAATACTTTTATTTTCTTCTTTAAAAAGAAAGAAATCTCAATGAACGGGAAAGTATATTAAAGTAGTAAAGGAATATATAGTGTATAATAAGGTGTTAATTATTCAATCGTTTATATGTAACATATAATTGATCTAAAATTAGAATAAAGTAAATAATTTTATTGGAATAAAATGAAATACTCCTTAAAATTAGAAATCTAGAAATCTTACGGAAAATATAAATGAATTTAAAATGAATATTGGAATCTAAACAATTGTGTTCTAAACTAACTATTGTTGTTATTTAGGTTCAATGTAATGTTTAATGAATACCAACTATAGGATCTTCTTCTTCTTCTTAGTATCCGTTTCCCTAGTGAGCACTCTGTTAGGTGCTTCTCTGCATATATGTTATCGTTCCACATTTAGTGCGCTTCTGTCATTTCTGTCTCAATTGTCTATCTTCAAGTTAAAGCTGGTGTACCAAGGCGTCTACTGCTTGCGGATTCCATGTAAAAGCTTGTCGTGGAATATATTTATTTGGTCGTCGAACAGTATAACTGAAGGATGCCATTACTATAGAAGGTGAAACAATTTGTGGGTATATAAGTAAACGAAAAAGTGATTAATTGACCCAATTTTTGTGTTTATCACGACTGGTTATAAAACATAACATATGTAACATACACCATGTTACGAGGTCCATTTAAATAATTCCATATAGATTGAATTTGTTAACCAATTAGTGACGAATAAGAAAATATGGATAGCTATATATTTAGTATGAATTTATTATATAAATTAATGGATAGTACTGAATTAAATGACAAATGAGAATATGTGGATAGATAAACATTTAGTAGCCAGAATCTGTGAGAGTGAAGTTAGAACAACAAGAGGAAAACAAAGGACGAGAAAGAGATGGAGTGACAGTGTTCGACAAATTTGAGAAATGTGAATGTTAATAATGTTAATAAATATATTTTATATTATAATTCTCTTGCAGATGATTTATTTACAATATCTGAATATCTGAGATTTGAGCTGTTTAAACAGGTATTTCAAGAATGGAAATATGTTTTCGTTATGGTGCCTTTGACCTTATTAAACATGTCACATATATGCAAGTCAGGATTTAAAAGTTTATTATTACTTAATTGGATAAAATTAATCTTAAAAATAATTAATTAATAAACTTTTCAAAAGTATTTTACTATTCCACTATCTATTATCGGTTACTCCAGTGCAATATATACATAACTTTTGTTAGGTATAGATCTATATTTTTGATCATCTTTAAGTAGTTGTAGTTACATAAATGTGACATATTTATATATTTATAACTTACTTCCTATTCAATTTCAATTATTTATGCAAATACTTTTGAGTTACTAAATATGAAAGTTAAATTATAGAAAGAAACTGATAAGATTAGAGCATAGCATTTTGACTTATTAACATTAAATATAGGCCACCTTATAAAAGCTCGTCACCTCTTACGTACGTTAAAAGTATTTTGAATTTCAAGTAATCAACATGAATGAAATCGTGATCCGTTCGCTTGTGCTAGCCATCATTGGCATATTCGGTACAATTAACGCTGCAGCCGTACCTAATACACCGAATGGACGTATCGTGGGCGGAGAACAGACTACCATAGCTAAATATCCTTATCAAGCCTCGGTGCGTTTGGACACTTATATAATGTTACATATTTGCGGTGCTTCGATCTATGCACCCCGCGTTGTAGTCACTGCGGCACATTGTATCAAAGGACGTTTTGCTTCTTATATTTACGTTGTTGCTGGATCGTCTTCTATAGTGGATGAATCGGAACAAGGAATACGTGCTAGTAAACTGATTTATCACAGTGGCTATAATAAGAATACGCATGATAATGATGTTGGTTTAATTATATTGAGTCAACCTTTGGTC